CAGATTGGGCAGGCTCGGTTATTGACACGAGATCCACGTCAGGATACTGTACTTATGTCTGGGGGAATCTGGTCACATGGCAAAGCAAGAAACAGAATGTGGTTGCAAGAAGTAGTGCTGAGGCAGAATATAGGGCTATGGCTAACGGAGTTTGTGAGATACTATGGTTGAAGAGAATTCTTGATGAGCTGCGGATGCCGATAAACATGCCAATGAAGTTGTATTGTGACAACAAAGCTGCCATAAGTATTGCACAAAATCCAGTACAACATGATCGCACGAAGCATGTGGAAATTGACAGACACTTCATAAAAGAGAAGATTGATAGTGGAGCTGTTTGCATGACTTTTGTTCCTACTACTCAACAAATAGCTGATATCTTCACCAAAGGACTTTTCAGATCTAGTTTTGAGCTCTTTATAAGCAAGTTGGGCATGATAGATATCTACGCTCCAACTTGAGGGGGGGTGTCAGATTTCTAGGAAATAAATTAGGAAATTCAATTTTTGAAAATAAAATCTGAAACTAATATTTCAGATTTTAGTAGTTTCTGTTTCCTGTTTTCTAGCCTAGAGTTTTGCTGATTTGATTTGCTGATTTTGTGGGCTTCCTGATTTGGTGGCCTTCCTCTACTATTTATCTTGTAATTGTCTCTCTTGAAAAATAAGAAGAGTGAATATTTTTCTTCTTAAAAAAACCTTCACAATTAATTTTTTTTTTTGATAAGTAAAATGTATTAAAGAGCGTTCAAAAGGGGAACGCGTCCCAAACTATACAAAGACAAAACAAAAATCTATGAACTCAAAGAGCCCATGAAGTCAACAATTTCCTCAAGAGAGGAGTAATCTCTCCCCTGACCCCAACAAAAAAGGGTACATGAAGTTGCAATTATTGATATTCAAAAAATAATTAGTTCTCTCTCTCATAAACCTTACCTATGTAACTACTCGTATTTGAGATAATTTCAAATGCTTTCCATTATCCTCAAGAATGTTGAATATATATATATATATATGATAGTAGTGTAATATGATAAAATGCCTAGTGATTGATAGGTTTTTTGGATGGGTGCGGTGTATGATTTGTGTTAGTTTAATTGTCTATATGCCTGTGGCATTTGTGAATTGATCTCTATAATCATTTTTCAAGTGTAGCAATGTTTGGCTAGATAAGAGTGAGTTTTGATGTGTTAATTTGTGCAAATATGTGGAGGGAGTGAAAAAAAAATGTTTGTGTATGATGAGTCTATGACGTGACGTGTTCTATTTAGAGTTAAATGAAGAAAAACATGTGGTAAAAGTGATATAGAGGCTGTCATATTTTTCATAGAGAAATCTCTGATCAAGAACAAGATCCATTTTTTATCAGATCTAAGAGATTCCTTGATTCGGGCTGAAGATGTTATTTCGTACTGTGCAATTCTTTTTTTGTGGGATCATTTTCCCACGAGATCTTATTAACCAAAGAGATAAGACTTTGCACTATAGTTAGCTCAGCACCAATCAAGAATCCCCAAATGTTAGAGGTCTCGTTTAAAGTTTTCGCTTTAGCCTCCAATTGAAGAATTAATGGTATTGATATTGCTGCCAAAGTTGCTATGTGCTGGGATAAGAGTGAGTTTTGATGTGTTAATTTGTGCAAATATGTGGAGGGAGTGAAAAAAAAATGTTTGTGTATGATGAGTCTATGACGTGACGTGTTCTATTTAGAGTTAAATGAAGAAAAACATGTGGTAAAAGTGATATAGAGGCTGTCATATTTTTCATAGAGAAATCTCTGACCAAGAACAAGATCCATTTTTTATCATATCTAAGAGATTCCTTGATTCGGGCTGAAGATGTTATTTCGTACTGTGCAATTCTTTTTTTGTGGGATCATTTTCCCACGAGATCTTATTAACCAAAGAGATAAGACTTTGCACTATAGTTAGCTCAGCACCAATTAAGAATCCCCAAATGTTACAGGTCTCGTTTAAAGTTTTCGCTTTAGCCTCCAATTGAAGAATTAATGGTATTGATATTGCTGCCAAAGTTGCTATGTGCTGGGATTTTGTGCAGAAGAAGAATAAGATTTGGATTAAATGGATTCATGCTAAGTATTTTCAGAATGCCTCTTTTTGAGCTGTGTTGCCTATATCAAGCCGGCCCTGCATATAGCTTTCTAATCTTAAGTTGCCAAAAAATAGTTTTTCAAGCAGAATATTCAAGATATGAGTTTCTGCCAAACAAAGTAAGGATCTACCATTACTTTAGCCCTCTTAAGTTATGACTTGAAAAATAACTAATAACAATTTCATACTACTCAAAAGTTCTACAGGATGTCCAGCAAGATTAGTATCATTAAGGAAACAAGGAAATGAAAGAAAAAAATTAACCAATGAATAACTTACCACTATTTTCAAGGGTTACAGAAAAAGAACAAAAGGCAAACTGCTTGGAAGGCTTCATTTGGGTTCAACAACCAACATGAAAAGAAAAGGCTACACTGAAATCTTTTTAACAAAGAGCTTAAATAAATTTAAGTCAAAGTCATCTGCACATGCATACGCGAATCTTACTTATTCACACAAAAAAAAAAAAAAATTCTTACAGGCTAATTTAATGAAGTAATTTCCTAATTAATAAAAGAATTCATACATTATGTTTTGACAAAATAACCACAAGTTATGAGATATATATGTGTGTGTGTGTGTGTGTGTGTGTAAAGAAGTTGATGAACAAGACTTGCAAACTTGCCTGTTGAGAGGTCCGGCCTAGTATATTATCAGGCTGTGAATATACACCTTTCATCTCATTGAACACAACACCTGAAGTTGACTTCAAATAGTTTATAAAATTGAAAATAATAATAATAATAATAAAAGAAAGAAAAAAAAAAGTTATCTGATCAGGATGTGGTTGTATCAAATGATATAAAAATCTGGAGCAATGTGAAGAGAAAAGAAAAAGACACTGGACAAAGAAAGACAAATTTCCTACACAGCCACTCATAAAATAATTTAGAGGGTAGGTATATGGACAAAAAAAAAAATTGAAAAGGAAGATGGAGAGGAAGAGGCAGAAGAAAAGAAAAGAAAAATAAAAAGTTATCAGAAACAACCTTTGTATGTTATGTCCTCCGATGGGTTGTCTAGTTCATAATGCCAACCCTCTTGTTGGAAAGTCTGGTAGTCCTCTATACATTTAGGGAAGAAGACGGCATCCAGGTACACATCTACCAAGTTATAGAAATCCTGTTTGGAAATTAATGACCATGCATCAATTTGGAACAAGATACACGAGAGACCACATCTATATTTTCATTTCAGAAACTTCCAAAATTGCTTTAACCTTTGTATTTGTGGAAGCAACTGGATAGCAAGTCCTATCAGGATATGTGAATGCATTCAGAAAAGTGTGCAAGCTCCCTTTTAAGAGTTCAACAAATGGTTCTTTCAAGGGATACTTTCTTGACCCACACAATACGCTGTGTTCCAATATGTGAGGAATCCCAGTTGAATCTTGCCTGCATGAACAATTAGTGACAATGAAATGATAAGATATTGACCAACTGGGCCACTGGCACTTTCTTTTGTTAGAAACACAGAATTTTGAATGGGCTCAAGTTGAAATAGTGGCATAAAAAGATGCAGACTCCCTTAAAATCAGTAGAACACATAAAAAAATTTAGGATGTAAGTTTTGATAAACAGATCACCTCTTTCTTATTGTTTAACTCCTTGTTACTCCCCATATAATACTTTTTTTAGTAAGGTAGAAATAAATCTAGATACTAAAATAATCTTCTCATATTACAGCTTAAGAGAGCTCAGGTAACAGCAAAGAAGCACATTCCTCAATTACTGCCTAATTAGCTTGATAGTCAGTGGCCTAATTGTTGCAACAACCATCCCAATCGCCTGATTATGGTCTTTTGTTATTTCCTTTTAAAGGTTTAAACATTTTAGGACAACTAATGCTTACTAATGAGAGACATTTGTTGATTTTTTTTTTTTTGATAATTAATTTGTTGATTGTCGAACCTCTTCATAAAAAACCTGTCCAAAGCAGCTGTTATAGAGTTGATCAAACATAATTTTCATATTCCAAAGAGAGCATTAGAAATGTTTTTTTTCTTTGGTAAATAAAAAGAGCATTAGATTCCTAAAACTTGCACAAGTAGTTTGCAAGACACCACTGAATGTTGATCAATCTTTTGGTATTCCAAATATGATCATCTATAACCCATTTCAACTTAATTATTAGAATGTGACCATTTCAACCCTTGAGCAATATAGAATATGAGAATGAACTATTTTAGAAATATGATGAAGGCCATTATCCAATGCTTGTCTCACCTATTATTTCATCACGTACCATGCAATTTGAGGTTTTACCATGCACCATGTAATGATCCCCTTCTTTTAGAATATGACAATTTCAAATTTTTCGGAAGGCATATTCTCAATATCTCTATAGAAAGAAAAAACCAAATGGCATAAAATCAACAATCAATGTATCTCTTACCATTGAAAGAATTACATTTGAGACAAAGCACTAATTAAAAGAGTTGTTCTTCCCAACACTATATATGGATATAAATACAAATAAGAAGAGAAAGGTCAAATACCCATAGCATACTTACAAATTAGTTTATATACCAAGAAATTTTCTTGCCTACAGAGAGAAAAAGAATACTTACGGAGGAGTGCGAAAAACAATACCAAATACTTTATTCTCATCCTCGTTCGACACAGACATGACTTCAGTCCCAGTCTTCTTGTGTTTGAAAAGAACAGCTTTGGATTTACACTCTTCAATAAACTCTTCCGAGACTTTCTCAAACCCAAACCTCTCAGGCACTACATCATCATGACCCCCAGCCACATCTATAAACAACAAGAAACCCTAAATTACCCACAAATTTTGAATCAATCACTTGGATTCGATAAATATGCGAAAACACGATTACTTGCCTGGAGAGGGTTGCGCTGGGGAAGTGGCAATGGCTCTCGGGGAGAGAAGAGATAAGCTTCTCTTTGATTGAAATGGAATAGATGAGGCGGTTGAAATTCGTCTGAGATTGTTGCGATGAAGAGAGCGTCTATGGAGGTTTGGGATTAATTGTTGTTGTCTTCTGAGTGAAGAGCGAGAGACAGAGGAGATACGACGAGCGAGTCTGGGTGAAGAGCGAGAGAAGAGTAGTCTTGTGCAGTTGAGAGTAGAAGACGAGAGAGAGCGAAGGAGAACGGCTCTCTCCATGGAGAGAAGCGCTGGTGTAGAGAGAGAAAGTAAGAGGTAGTGAGAGAGAGGTTCAAGATGAGGAAATAGAGAGAGAGAGAGATGGGGGGCTTTGGATTGGAGTGAGGAGGGAAAGAAATATCAAGTAAAGGGATTTGGGGCCAAAAGATCCGTTGTGGTGGCTTGAGAAGTAAGTAAAACTTTTCTTGGGGCCCATAAAATTATATGGTTGACCTTTGGCCATATAGCAAGTCTTTTGTCCGTGGGTGTGCCCATAGGTATCAACAATGCGACTAAAAGTTTGGTTTTTGGGTTAGGACTGATTAAACTAAAGGCCATAGGTATTAATAATGGGCCTAAAAGTTTGGTTTTGGGGTTCAAGTTCAACTACCCATCATCCATTTTAATCACAATGTTTCTTTATCCAGACCGTCAGAAATAGGGTTTAGTTCTCACACACATCCAACAATTTAATTAGCCGGTTTTTATTTTATGACGTCATAATTGTTTTATAAAATTAGAAATTTTAGCAACATTGATCCTGTATTTATGCCTCAAAAAATCATTTACACACAATTCTCAAGTGTTTGTCAATGATTTGGGATCATCTCCTATATATATATATATATATATATATATATATATATATATATATATATATATATATATATTGTCAGTGTCTTTCTTATGCGTTTGAATTCTAAGAGAACAAAAAAGAAAACAAAAAAGAAAAAAAAATCACATACAAATAGATTACATATCAAATAACTTGTACACTCAATTCTTTATTTAAAAAGCGGAGGAATAAGAGTAGTGATGGAGCAATTGAATCTTATTCCTGAAATAATTACTGAAGCGTGATGTGGTTTGGTTACGACAGACTTTTTAAAGGTAAGACTCAAAGAATAAATTTCCTTTATAATTTTTCGCGTAAATTGAAGGAAAAAATAAAAGAATAAAAGCCTGCTCAATGATCGTGGATAGAGAAAGGCATTGATGTGAAAATATGGTGGTTAAATATACAAATCTAACATATATATAAAAGTTCTTACAAATTAAAAAAAATTAAATAAGAACATATTCTCACAACAACATCGATCCAGGATTCACACTCCCTCTAAGTTTTGTAACGAGTTTTCTTCTCCAATAGCTATTCAATTGGTACTTTCTTTCACAATTTTTGAAAGCAAAAATTAGGGCAAATTATGACACCGACATGGTGATGGTAGAATCAAAGAAATTAAGGTTTTTTATTTTATTTTATTTTATTATATAGTTTTGATAATTTTTTGTATAAATCTTTGTAGTCTATCAGATGGAATCCCAAGCCTACAAAAAGTCTAGAAAAAGTGAAAGCAAAAGTGATAGACTAACAAGATCTCGAAATTACTTAGAAATTTTTCTAAAAGGTGATGTCTTGATTTATAACTAAAAGATGGGTGTTCAAAGACGAATTTTTCTTTTTTTTTTAAAGTCTGACATGGCCAATCTACCTCACGATTCGGTGACTATTTTGGAGATATTTTTTGAGTATTCTATCATATTTTTCGAGTATTCTATCATTTTCTTTTTTTATTGGGGAGTATCCAATGACAAAGAGCGTTGATATCCCATATAGATGGGACCACAACACGAGTATGATATGGGTGTGTGCCTCCTGAGTACAAGCAATGAACTATTTAGTGAATTTTAAATCACCTATTATTCATCTAGCACTTTTTTTTTTTTTTTTTCCAAAATTAAAGAGCGTCTTATCTTTTTAAATATTGAATATAGGAATTTGGATACCACACAAATAACATTGTTATATTGAAGGTATTATAATTATGGGACAAGTGCAGAAAACATCCTTAAAGTATGCTTTGCATAGCACTTTTACCCCTATTTGAAAAAATGTGCAAAAAACACACCTAATTTTTTCACATTGTGCAAAAATACACCATCTAACATAAATTAGTGTTATAATACCCGTTTTGTCATTTTACTCCTTCTTAAAATGCCCAAGGGGGTATATATACTACTAATATCATAGTATATGAGTGTTATGTGCATATTACCTTATATATATATATATATATATATATATATATATATATATTTGAAACTTTTTTCTCTATACATATCTCTAAACATTTTTTTGAATAACCTAAGCCTTAGATACCTTAGGTTATCCAAAAATAATAATAATAATAATAATAATAAAAATAAATTAAGTGAAAGATTAAATTAAAAGAAAAACATAAATTATTATGACAACAATAGCCTCAGGCCATATGGCTTAAAAAATTCATTTTTAAATGGGTCAATACATAAAATATCCTTAAAGTATGATTACAGTGTATATCACACCTCTCATGTGTAAAAAATACTTATAAAGTTTTAATTTGGTGCAAATAGGTCCATCTGACAAATTTAAACTTTAAGTTGACTAAACTACCCTCATTGAACCATTTTATAAAATATATAAAAATAAATAATTTTATAAAATGACTGAAAATGACACTATTGGAAGATGCCCATCACGTGCAAAAAATACTTCTAAAGTTTCAAACTGGTGCAAATAGGTCCCTCTAACAAATTTAAACCATAAGTTAACTAAATTGCCCTTACTGAACAATTTTATAAATATATAAAAATAAATAATTTTACAAACAAATTGAAAATGACACTATTGGAGGACGTTGCAATGGACAAGTAAAGATAAAAATATAAATATAAAAGAAAATTAAGATATAAATAGAAAATAAAAAATGAAAATAAAGTGCAAACTAAAGAAAATAGATCTGCTTTAAACTCTGAAAATCAGTGCACACTAATATTGAGAAATTTTTCCTTTTTTTTATTTAACAGTGTTGATATAAAAAAAATATAATAATAATAATAAATAAATAAATAAATTAGTTGAAAAGAGTAAACTAAAATCTCAAAAAATTCAAATACTTGTTTTACAAATTCTCAAAGTTTAAAAAATATATATTTAGAAATATATATAGAGAAAAAAGTTTCAAATATATATATATAAGGCAATGTGCACATAACATCCCTATTCTATGAGATTAGTAACATATATATTCCATTGAACATTTTCGAAAGAGTAAAAGGACAAAACAAGTATTACAATACTAATTTATATCAAATGGAGTATTTTTATACAATGTAAAAAAATTAAAATATTTTTCACATATTTTAAATTAAAATACGCGCCAAATATACTTTAGGGGAGCCATTTTTAAATGGTTAACCGGTTCAAAACGACATCCGAAAAAAAAGTCTGAAATCGTTTTTGTCTCCTCTATTCTCTCACCTCCAGCAAAACACCCATATACAACCAACAAAATGCTATCTGAAATCGTTTCTCTCGCTGTTCTCTCACTCTAGTCTCCACAAAATCTCCATGAAATGTACAACAAAGCCCTAAATTTCAATGAAAAACCAAACGACCCTAGAATGAGACCCTAAGTAGATGAAGTGATAGAGAGATAGATAAGAGATCGATTCTCTTCACTCTCATCTTCTTCCAAAGAAGTCAGTGCTCGAAATCGCAATTGTAATTTTCGTTCTTTGAAGACAGAAATCAGAAGAAGCTGAACAGATTCTCTGCTGATTCGGATTTTTTCCTCTGTTCTTCGTCGTCGCCGGACAGTTCTGGTCCTGAAGCGGCCTATTCGTTTCTGAAACGGACGATTTTCATTGGGAATCGGTCGATTCACTGAGAACCAGCCGGTTCGATTGGCAACTTCCAATATATCTCAATTTCGAGACCGAACGGGCCGGTTCAGCGAACGACCGAGTCAAACTATACTCTCATTTTTAAAATACCAAAGAAAAATAATTGTATTGTTTTGGAAAATACAATTGGCTTTTCTTCTATTTCTGTTAATTACAATGGATTTATCCAAATAATTACTATTATCTACTTTAAATGGCGTAGATGTATTGGAGGGACAACCAACCAACGACAGCTGTTGATTCACTTTATTTGTAAGCACAGGTCACTCTTTTGCTATTATGGTAAATGAAAGTTGATATATTTGATCTAAATTAGGATATGGTCACACCTATTTAAATGGTGACATTGAGTCCATTCCCTCATATCCATTTCTCTGTGACACGATCTCTATTGAAGCTCAAACAAAAATGGGTTACAAAATGTCACCATTTTTATGTTTGTTCATCTTCTTTTCGGTGGCTTCAAGTGCAAGCAATTCAAGTTCAAACAATTCAAGTTCGAGCAATTCAGATACAAGCAATTTGAAACATTTTGTTTATAAACCTGCAAACAATTCAAGTCCGAACAAACCCCAACAATTTGCTGGTCCACCTTCAAGCAATTCAAAATCAAGCGATTCAAATTCAACCAATTTGAAACATTTTGTTTATAAACCTGCAAACAATTCAAGTCCAAACAAATCGAATCAATCTGCTGGTTCACCTCCAAGCAATTCAAGTTCAAACAATTCAGGAACAATCAAATTGCATAAATTTGATGCTACGCCTTTCCTTCCACTATTCCATGGCGGAGTTCTTCATATAGGAGGCTTCATGAATATATACAAGAACAACACCCTAGAGAGAATAAAGGAGGACCACAAGAATGTCCCTCCATCATTCGATTCCAGGACTGGTGTCACATCCAAAGACGTCGAAATTATACCAGAAAATGGAATAACCGGTAGGCTTTACATCCCCGTTCAAACCCCGGGAGAAAAATTCCCTCTGGTAGTTTACGTTCACGGTGGAGGTTTTGTCACTAAAAGCGCTGCTAGTCCGGAGTACCATAACTACGTAAACTTACTGGTGGCGAATGCTAGTGTCGTCGCGTTGTCCGTTAATTATAGGCAAGCACCGGAGCACCCTCTTCCGGTGGCTTACCAAGACACATGGTCTGCGCTTAAGTGGGTTGCTAAACACTCCAATGGAAGTGGCACTGAGGCATGGCTCAATGACTATGTTGACTTTAAGAGTGTGTACCTTGTTGGAGATGGTGCAGGTGGTAATATAGCACACAATGTGGCAATGTGGGCCGGGCAAGATTCGTTGGACGGTATGAAGCTTGCGGGTATGGTTCTATTCAGTCCATTGTTTTGGGGGAAAGATATAATTGGTGAGCATGAGCCCAAGGACTTCAAAAGGAGAACTAGTATGAAGATCTTGTGGTACGTGTCGACGGAGATGATTGTCGGGTTGGATGACCCGTGGTTAAACCCGATTAAGGATCCGAATTTGTCGAAACTCGGGGTCCCAAGGCTGCTGGTATGTATTTCTGAGAATGAAATGATGAGAGATAGGGGTGAGTATTACACCAAGGCATTGCGTACGAGTGGGTGGAAAGGAGAGATGGAGCTTCATGAGACTACAGCTGAGAGCCATGCGTACCAATTGACCGAACCTGATGGTGAAAGTGCTCGGGCCCTACTCACGAAAGTGTCTTCTTTCATAAACAAAGAACCCTGACCCTAGTCATTATATGTTCTTGCTTATCACCTCTAATGTTTTGGCTAGCTCCCTGAAGTCCTACGAAAAAACTGAGATCAAATCGTGTCTTCAAAATTTCTCAATCGTTATTCGATATTAGTAGGACCCGAACATTCAGTCTCCCCTTTGGAGAGGAGAGATTACACCATTGGGCAAAAGATCACTTGGTCTTTACGGTGTAATTTATGATTGTACCTGATAATTTTGTAATCTTTTTGAAGAAATGCCCTTAATTTTGAGTACCTGTATATCCAAACTTTATTGCTCTGCTCTTTGCACTTTGCACTTTCACTTTGCACTTTGCACTTTGCTCTAAGCCTCTTAACAATATTTGTGATAAGCGAGTGTTATTGAAAGTCATATGTTATCATAACATAGGTATACGTATTAGTCTAATCACATCGTTACATAATCTTTTTTTTTTTTATAAAAAATGTTGACACTAGTGGACTTGGGCTTCAAAGTGAAGCGTTATCATTGCCCTTTTATTCCTTGATCTTGTGTATAAGGTTCATGAAATGGTATTTACAGAACGAAAAAAAAAGGGTTCATGAAATGGAAATTATTTTAATAGACAATTAGAGTTTGAATAATGGGATGTTCATCAATGAGTCAATACGTAAGTCCACTTAATGGGATCTTGTTTAAACTTAAGTGGGCAATAGTCTTTGAATTCTATTTACGTAGTATGTACCTCCAAATGTAAGCAGAAACATAGAATAACAATAGTTAAATTATTTATTTATTTGATTAGACCTAGGCTAATAATTATCTATGTATTTAAGAGGATGCGTTCAATGTATCGTATATCTAACTCTTAATTTTGTGTGGAATTTAACTTAAGGTTCACATATGCCAAGAGATAAGAAGCATGGACATTCCATGAGAGGTGTCAGACATAAGATCAATACCGGCACATTGGGGATAGGATCGAACAATCAAACACGTGACAGTTACGGTTAGAGATGTTAACATTTTAAAAGGGGTTAATTACAACGACATCCCCTGAAGTTTGTCGTATTGACAGACATATATAAGTTTGCCCTTTTTTAAACAATGAGATCCCTTGAAATTTGATAAAGTTGACAAAACACCTCCTGACACCATCTAGCACACCTGACACATGAAAAATTGACCAATTTGCCCTTTGACTTGTTTGTGGACCTTTATTACTTTACAATTGAATTAATTGGACCAAACTACCCTTATTACCATTTGATAGGGAAAAAAAAGTGCATAACTGCCAAAACAGCTGATTTGGTACCAAAAATTCTAGCCATATTAACAGCCATAACTACCATATTGACAAGGTTAATTACAATGGAATTTGCTATATATAATGGAACTTGCTATATATAACCTACATTTAACATTAATGGTACTTGTAATAGATCTTGCAATATATATACATGTCAAAATACAAATAGTGAAATAAAGGAGAAATAATACAGAAAATGGCAAGTGGAAGATTTGTCTCATTTTAAGTACAAAGCTTTGCACCAAATTTTTTTTTTACATGGAACTGAAGTTTTGCACCTACATAAAATTGAAGCTTTGCAATTACAATGGAATTGAAGCTTTGCAAAAAATAAAAAAATAAAAAATAAAAAAAATAAAAAATTGGTAAGTACTTTAGTTATCCTTTGTAACATTGTATAGCCAACAGAAGCTTTGCACCAGGGGAAAAAAAAAAATTGCAAGTACTTCAGTAGCCCATTACATAACTATCATTTTACATTAATAAAGTCTTAAAACAAATGCAAATCAAATAAGTGGTAACATTGGACTGGGTGGACTGGCTGGCTTGTGGTGGTACTGATGTTCCTGCAACTCTACTATACTGAGTGAGTTGTGCATAACCATTTATTGCAAGTGTACATTAAAAAATAAATATGGCATATCAAACAAATGCAAAAGAAGAAAAATTACTTAAAATAATATGGCAAATCAAACAAATGAAATTAATAATCACGACAATAAATATAGATTCTATAAATCAAGAGACAAAAGAAGAAAAATTACTCAAAATAATATGTCAATCATTGAGTAATTTAAGAAAGAAAAATAGTTGACAAAAAATTTAAAAAGGAAAGAAAAATGAGAGAATTTTGAAAAGAAAAAAAAAATAGGATTACCTAGAAAAAATATTGGATTTGATTTTCAAAAAATTTGACTTTTTTTAAAGGAAATTAAACAAATTTAAAATAAAAAGGATTACCTGGAAAAAAATTGGATTTGATTTTTAAAAAATTTAACTTTTTTTAAAGGAAATTAAACAAATTTAAAATAACCAAGGATTACCTGGACAAAAAATTGGATTTGATTTTTAAAAAATTTGGCTTTTTTTTAAAGGAAATTAAATGAATTTAAAATAACCAAGAATTACCTGGACAAAAATTGGATTTGATTTTTAAAAAATTTGACTTTTTTTAAAGGAAATTAAATGAATTTAAAATAACCAAGGATTACCTGGAAAAAAATTGGATTTGATTTTTAAAAAATTTGACTTTTTTTAAAGGAAATTAAATGAATTTAAAATAACCAAGGATTACCTAGACAAAAAATTGGATTTGATTTTTAAAAAAATTGACTTTTTTTAAAGGAAATTAAATGAATTTAAAATAACCAAGGATTACCTGGAAAAAAATTGGATTTGATTTTTAAAATATTTGACTTTTTTAAAGGAAATTAAATGAATTTAAAATAACCAAGGATTACCTGGAAAAAAATTGGATTTGATTTTTAAAAAATTTGACTTTTTTTAAAGGAAATTAAATGAATTTAAAATAACCAAGGATTACCTGGACAAAAAATTGGATTTGATTTTTAAAAAATTTGGCTTTTTTTAAAAGAAATTAAACGAATTTAAAATAACCAAGAATTACCTGTGCTGCTGCTGTGGCTTCACTCCATGTCCTTGGTACTTCACCTTTCTTTCCTCTCCTTCCTTTTCTTGAAGTTGTTGCTGAAGTTGATGCTGACCTTGTTTTCTTTTCCTTGATCCTTTGCTCTAAATTAGAGCCCTTTGACAACCCCTTTTGTTGTGTCAAGTACCCATGCATATGCTACAATGAATAATGGTAGACCTCTTACTAGCCTGTGGTTCATCAGTTTCCCTCTTTCTTTGCACTCTAGGTCTTCCTGCAGGCCTTTTTAGAACTGGAGGAAGCAAATCCTTCTTAGGTACTTCATCCCATAAAGTCTAATAGTGCATGGGATATATGATATTTTTGTAAGCTTTCACATAAGTGTACCTACCGAAGAATTCATGACAATACTCCTCAATATTCTCTCTTTTCCATGTAATATATATTGCTACATGCTTATATGGCACACCAATGAGTTGTCATTCCCTGCAACAACAAGTTCTGCTCTGAAGATTGACAATATATTTGAAGGTATTTTCCTCTGTTACCTCATAGAAGTCACCACCCGGCCAGATCAATTGACATGTCCCTGCCTTTTCAATAGCTAAATTCAACTTGTTTTTGATTTTTGGGACGCCAGATCAATTGACATGTCCCTGCCTTTTCAATAGCTAAATTCAACTTGTTTTTGATTTTTGGGACTGCAAAATTATCCCAAGTAGCAATTTTCTGAAACCTTTTGGAGAATTTGCTCATAAGCTTAGTTCTTATACCCTCAAAACATAGCAGTTATAGGTTTTGCCTTCACCTTCTTAAGCCATGAGTTTAATGACTTAATTGCATTATTTGTCAAAAAATCACACTTCTGTCTCTCATCAAACCTATGCCTTGCCCATGTTTCAAGTGGATGGTCCATCAACCACTGCCATGCTTCTGGACATTTATTTTGTATCTTTGCCATAGCATTGTTGAATTCCAACTCTCTATGAGCCGTATCTTTGCCATAGCATTGTTAAATTCCAACCCTCTATGAGCCCTAACTGCCACCCAAAATAATTTTCTATACTTAACAACATGATACAATGTTCTAAAATTAGCATAAATATGCCTATAACACCATCTAGTAAGAGCATGAGGATATACCTCATCCACAGCCGGAAGTATTCCTTTTCTTGACCATCAGTCATTATTACCCAAGCCAAATTCTCATACGTGTCACCAGTGATTTTGTGTAGGTGTTCCAAAAACCACGTCCAACTTTCTTTACTTTCGGACTCCACTACTGCAAATGCAAATGGGTATAACCCATTATTCCCATCAAGCCCCACTGTACTAATTAAAATACCACCAAATCAGACCAATAAATGGTCTACAACCAACACTAAAGCCATTTAATATTGCTGCAAATGATAAAAACATTCTTATAAACCTTGGTTCCTCTTTTTGTGAATGTTTTATAAACACCAAGAATCTGAAGAACAGAAAAATGAACAACACTACACAAACCACCAAGAATTTGAACGCACACCAAGCAACCGACTTTAGCGTTCCAGAAATAAATGTTACATTTTTGGAGCAGATAAATAGTGAGAGAGATCGTGATAAAGAAATGAAAGGAAAAAACGGTAAAGCCTTTGGTTTTCTTTCAGATAAACATGAGAGAGATCATGAGAGAGATCGTGATCGTGATAGAGAAATTGAGAAGTTTAGTGAGATAGACAAATGTGAAATAAATGGGGTAGGTGGGTGGGTAGTGGCTTGCATCAAATGGCGCCATTTTGTGTGGCTGTTATTAACGGAGGGGTATATTAGACATTTTGCCATGCATAATATTTTAGGATAAAAGTGATTTAAATATTCAGGGGCAATATTGTCTTTTCGCAACCAATAAGGCCTTGTTTGGATTACAAAATTGACAGGGGGTCTCATTGTCCAAAAAATGACAAACTTATATATGTCTGTTAAAACGGCAAACCTTAGAGGGGTCGTTGTAATTAACCCTTTTAAAAAAGAGTAGCGCCTCACTTTCTTTCCCTTCGACCGGGGACATGATTGGACCGTCAACCCAAAAGCACATTTGAAAGGGTTCATGGCAAGGTCAATTAGAATTTTCAAATCTATGGAATAAATAAATATATATAAGGCTTAAAAGTCCAACAACATAAGAATATTTATAAAATCTTTTATTTGTTCCCTTGTAACATTCTTTTTCCCTAGTGAAGCTCGCGTTGCAATCAGATCACCTTACTCGAGATGTTAATCTGGACCCCTCCGAGTCAGGCATTGGATTAAGGATTGTGTCTACCTCTAATACTAATTGTAATGGGTCAAGTATTTGCAATCCGACCAAAAAAAACTTAAGCTATTAAGTAAGAGAGTTAACACTCAAACTATATATACCCATTCACTTTTCAATTTAAATCCGATGTGAGACAAACCCTCTTATAACAAAAGACCATAAAAAAAAAGAGACGGCCACATTCGTATTATCCTCAATCTCTCAACATTATGGATTGTTGAGAAATTTAAATGCTATTTGTTTCGGACTCGATTAATATTCAATTTATATCATTGAAGCTTTGTTGTTGAATCATAATCTTTGGGACTAAATATTAAAGCATATGCAAAGTTATTCTACACACTTTTACATTTATCTTATGGAGGACTATAACTTGAACCTTTTTATTTGGAAAGAGGATGAGCAACCATTTAGACAAATTAATTTAAATTTTTAAATAATATTGTTCACAACCAAAAGCTAATGGTATTTCATCTCTTTCAGAACAGAATGGATGTGAAAGTTTCAAAATTTGCCAATATTTGTAAGGACAAAAAAATTATAATAATAATTCTTGAATTTTAATTCCAAAATAATACCAATTTCATGCCTCTAAGTAAGTCACACAATTCGTTCAAAGAGACTCCGCTCTCAAGCTCCGTAAGCGAATTTGTGATTTGAGAGCGAATTCGCACAAAATCCGCGAATTCAATTTTGCAATTCTCGAATTTGTTTTTCCTAATTTGTGAATTCCATACGAATTTATTTTATATAACTAAATTTGTTAGAATCCCATTGATATGGAACACCTATATTACCATATATGTATTTATTACTTACACTATTACTCAATATATACATTAATTATTTAAATTTTAGTGTGCGTTGCTATACTACCATATGTATTTAGAGAGAAATATATATATTAATTATACATGTTTGAAAATATACTATGAAAAAACTTTTCAATTAAAGAATATTACAAATAAATCACACATCTATTAGTGAGAAAAATTAGTTTATTTATTACATATATCATTAATAGAATAAATAATTATGAATATATTTGCGTACGGACGCTCTCAAGACGCTCCCGCTCTCAAAATTTTTAGACTTTGACGCTTTTGCGCTCTCGCTCCTGCTCCCGCACTCACTCCCGCTATGTGTGACTTATCTCCAACTATATGAGTTTAAATACATTTATCAAACGAAAAATCATAAGCAATTTCTACTACTCTCTTATTTTTAAATACCAAAGAAAAATGATTGTATAATTTTAGTAAATACAAGTGGTTTTCTTCTTTTTCTGTTTAATGGAATAAATAATCATATATCATTAATGGAATAAATAATCATAAATAAATAATCATGAGTAAATACAAGTGGTTATTAGTTTATTTATTACATATATCATTAATGGAATAAATAATCATGAACGCTCTCAAGACTGCTGCTCTCAAAATTTTTGGATTTTGACCTTTTTGCGCTTTCGTTCCTCCCGCACTCACTCCCGCTCTGTGTGACTTATCTTCAACTACATAGTTTAAATACATTTATCAAACGAAAAATCATAAGCAATTTCTACTAGTCTCTCATTTTTAAATACCAAAGAAAAATGATTGTATAATTCTAGTAAATACAAGTGGTTTTCTTCTTTTTCTGTTTAATTACAGATAATTTATCCAAGTTTCCACTATTATCTAAAACGACACTCTCCATTCATGCACCAATTTAAATGGCTCAGATGCAGTGGATTAACAAACCACTCTGTGTCTCTTCCGTTGCCAAAAAATAAATGACGGCTATTGATCTACTCTTTTGCTGTTTTGGTAATTACATTGGTAAAATGCAAAACAACCCAAAAGTCACTTTAAACTAAATTAGGACATTGTCACCTATTTAAATGGTGACAATATTGAGTCCTTCCTCATTTGCATTTCTCTGTCACATCCATTGAAGCCTCAAACATTTTATGACCAACAAAATGTCACCAATTTTTTGTTTCTTCATCTTCTTTCCGGCGGCTTCAAGCACATTGCTCAATTTCGATGTTTCGCCTTTCCTGTCACTATTCAATGGCACAACGCTTCAAATAATAGGCTTCATGAACATGTACAACAACAACACCATAGAGAGATTAGACAGCTACATGGTCCCTCCGTCATTCGATTCCACAGCCGGTGTCAACTCCAAAGACGTCGTGGTTTTGCCAGAAAGTGGTGTGGCCGCTAGGCTTTTCGTCCCCATCAATCCAGCCCTGCCGCAAGGACGCAAGTTTCCTCTGGTAATTTACCTCCACGGTGGTGGTTTTGTAACCGGGAGTGCTTTTAGTCCGGCTTACCATAACTATGTGAATTCGCTCGCGGCTAATGCCAGTGTCGTCGCATTGTCCGTCAATTATAAGATATGCCCGGAGAACCCTGTTCCTGTGCCTTACCTTGATTCATGGTCTGTGGTTAAGTGGGTTGCTAAACACTCTAAGGGGCTTGGTAATGAGGCGTGGCTCAATGACTATGTTGACTTTGAAAAAGTGTACCTTGCTGGTGATAGTGCAGGTGCTAATATAGCACACAATGTGGCAATGTTGGCTGGGCTAGAAGGGTTGGATGGGTTCAAGATTGCTGGTATGGTTCTAATGAGCCCATATTTTTGGGGGACACAACCAATTGGTGAGCATGAGCCCAAGGACACCATATTGAGGAATACAATCCAGACCTTGTGGTACGTGGCGACCGGGATGAAAATAGGGGTGGATCATCCGTGGTTGAACCCGATTCTGGATCCGAATTTGTCGAAACTAGGGTGCACAAGGGTGCTGGTGTGTATTTCTGAGAGAGATTGGTTGAGGGATAGGGGTGAGTACTACTCCATGGCATTGGGTGGGAGTGGGTGGAAAGGAGAGGTGGAGCTTTATGAGACTAAAGGTGAGAACCATGTGTTCCAATTGACCAAGCCCAATACTCCAAATTCTCAGGCCCTACTCAATGAAGTGTCTTCTTTCATAAACAAATAGGCCTAGTCATTAATGCCAAATAACTATGTTCTTTGTTATTGGCATCATCTGAATTTGGAATAGGTTTGCAGCAATGGCTTTTATGGTGTAATTTTTTTCTTTTTCTTTTCCTTTTCCTTTTTTGAGGTTTAAACAAGAACACATTTGTTATTCAGAACATGTTTCTAGTGGTACTCGAACAATCAACTCTCTTCCTGGAAGAGCGATTACACCATTAGACTAGAGAATGGTATCCCGTGTGATTATGCTACATACATGTCTTATCTTATTAAAGAAATGCCATTAATTGTTCGTGCATGTATATGGAAACTTTATTGCTCTACTCATACATTAACTATTCAAATTCTGAAGGGTCGGAGCATTTCTCTCTCTCTCTCTCTCAAAGGGACTCTTTAAAGTCAAAATATAACAGGTGAATGAAAATAATACATTCCAATGGCTTTCAAAAGTATAGTATTGTTATATATAGCAGTTCTCAAAAGGCTGATGAAAATAATACACCCCGATGAACTCTCAAGTGACTTCTCATAATTTGAAATTGTCAAAAATATTGTAGTTGAAAAAGAATGGTTGTTATGTCAAAAAATGATATTTTGGATGAAATGTATAGAATTGCTAAAATATGGCATTTTGACACTTTATCTTCTCTACACAAAATTTGTTTTCTCTAAGTTTTATACTAATTTCTTTCTTAAAAAATTATTACATGATCTGAGATGGGATTAAATGTCCAATCATATCATATATGTGACACAAATAAATGTATTAATTTTATTCTTTCTTTCTTCTTCTTCTTCTTCTTCTTCTTCTTCTTTTTATTTTTATTTTTTTTATTTTGGATGGCTATTTGTAATTGGCGGCCCATGTAACAATTTCTTCTTCCCTCTTGTATAAATGACTCCAACTTATGTCATCAATAATTGGCTTGTTGCTAAAACACTTTTTGTTGTTTTTGTAAACATTGAAATGTATTAACAAATTAAGAGCTCTTGGAAAGTGGATTAACAAATTAAGAGCTGTAAGATTAACTCTTGTGAGTGATGCATTAAGTGACCTTAAAATTTAAACACAAAATTGCTCTTTAGTGATCACTTGAGGTTTATTTCATGAAAACAAAATTTTACTTACTAAGGCCTTGTTTGGCAATTGTTTGTGTTTCATGTTTTTTTTTTTTTTTTTTTTTGCTTTGGACAGTGTATTATAGCGATGCAAAATACCAAAGCAAAGCTTGTTTAATAATGTTTGCCGCGAGTTGAATAGTACCGAAAAGTTTCTAAAAAAGAGACTAAAATCGAAAGCACCAAATTGGTGTTTTCCGTTGATTCGTAGCAAAAACATTGTGGCGATGAATAATACCTAAAAAAAAGTCTTAAATGACATTTTTAACTAGCTTTTTATTTTTCAACTTGGAAGACTTTTTTTTTATCAAACATGTTTTTCAAAAATCTTACAACAAATAAGATGTTACTAAATGTCCTTCTGAATATTATTGAACACACTTAAACAAAAAAAAAAAAAAAAAAAAAATTGCTTTGATTTTACGAAGCAAAAGTAGTCGCAAACAAGCCCTAAGACATGAGAAGACTATATATAAAGAATGTATACATATTATTTGGAGCATTATATGATATAAAGAGACATGAAAGGGTGTACAAGCATCCATTGGAACGATTGTGCCCAGTGGCTCATTCTCAATTTATTAATAATTATTTGAAAAGGTTAAATTTGAAAATTGATATTTGTAGGTAATTATTAATTTTCGCTCTCCTCTCTTCCCCCAAAATTGGGGAGACAGAAACACATAAAGAAATGAGGGATGAAGTGAAGCATTCCTTCTCCCTCCTTCCCTTCAACCAAACACGAAAAAGTTCATCAATCCCTCTAACCAAATATAACATAAATAACATATCTTTTCATTATCGAAACATTCAATTTAATCATTCTATAGTAACTTTGGAAATATATATATATATATATATATATATATATATATATATATATATATATATATATCACTTCATAGAAAAATCCATATCATTTTACCTAAAAAAATGTGTTGGACTTGATTTTGAATAAAATTATTTCAATTGATACTATTGTTGAGTTATCTTTTGTGAACTTATTGATTAGTTGGGCTACAGTCATAATTAATAGAATAATGAAAGGTTAAAAAACAATGTATACTAAAATTTGTATATGAATTACAAACAAACATGTGCCACACACTTTTACATTTATGTTTTTTGGACTCCAACCCTCCACTTTTTATTTGAAAAGATGATGAGCAATCACTTGAAAAAATTCATTTAAAACATTAACTATTCATGACCGGTCAACAAAAGTTGAGACCAAGGCAAAAATTTTAAGGGAGGCCTCTTTGAACCCTTAGCATGTTAATATAAGATAATATTAATGTCAATTCTCTATCTTTTTTATTTAAATTTCGTTACTCTTACTTTTGAGACCCAAAAGATATCTTCAGAAACTTAAAAATGAAAATTTATTTTTAAAAATTATATACAAATATAATTATTTTAACTCGAGAAAGTGAATAAAGTGGAGTATTGGGCTTTAAAACATTCATTATGACTTTTAAATTGCATGTTTCGAAAGTTCAGTGTGTTAGTGTTTTCGTTGAATTTTGAAAAACTTTTAAAACTAACATTTTAGATGAAAAAAATAATATAAATTTCATCAAATTGAATTGCATAAAATTCTCTTAACTGGTAACATTTTGCAATAAAATTTTCTTTTAAATACAGTATATATATATATATATATTCAGAAAACTCACTTTCGCTTGCCAGGAATTACTTTTACTAAAATACACCCACCAAGGTACCCTTTGTAATATAATATTATTATATTATATTATATTAAATATAATTGGGTGGTAAGTACAAGTGGCTTTCTTCTTTTTCTGTTTATTACAGATGAGTTGTCCAAGTTTCCATTATTAACCAAGAGGCACCAGTCGAACTGCCTTAGATGCATTGACAACCACTATCTCTTTTGCTGTTTTGGTAACCACATTGGTTATTGCAAAACAACCAAAAAGCCACTTTTATCTAAATTAGAATATACTAGTTACCTATTTAAATGGTGACATTTAGTCCTTCACTATTGAAGGCTCAAACAAAAATGGGTAACAAAATGTCATCATTTTATTGTTTGTTCATCTTCTTCTTTTCGGTGGCTTCAAGCACATTGCTTCATTTTGATGTTTCACCTTTCCTTCCACTATTCAGTGGCCCAAAACTTGAAATAGAAGGCTTCATGAATATGTACCACAATAACACCATAGAGAGATTAGACGACGACATTGTCCCTCCATCATCAACCGATCCCAAAACCAGTGTCAAATCCAAAGACGTCGTGATTTCCCCACAAAATGGTGTATCTGCTAGGCTTTACATCCCCATTTCCATTCCCACCCTCCAAGGACACAAACTTCCTTTAGTAATTTATATCCACGGTGGAGGTTTTTGCTCTGGAAGTGCTTTCAATCCGATTTACCATAACTACGTTAGCTCACTTGTGGCGAATGCTAATGTCGTCGCGTTATCTATTAATTATAGGGAAGCCCCAGAGCATCCTATTCCCGCGGCTTACCAAGATTCATCGTCTGCACTAAGGTGGGTTGCTCAACACTCCAAGGGAGGTGGTGGTGGTGAGGCATGGCTCAATGACTATGTTGACTTTCAAAGTGTGTACCTTGTTGGAGACGTTGCAGGTGCTAATATAGCACACAATGTTGCAATGTGGGCCGGTCAAGAAGATTTGGAGGGTTTCATGCTTGCGGGTATGGTTCTAATGAGCCCATTTTTTTGGGGCAAAAAACCAATTGGTGAGCATGAGCCCAAAGAAATCCAAATAAGAAATTTGGTCCATACCTCGTGGTACGTAGCGACAGGGATGAAAATCGAGTTGGATGACCCGAGGTTAAACCCGATTGTGGATCCGAATTTGTCGAAACTAGGGTGCACGAGGGTGCTGGTATGTGTTGCTGAGAATGATCGGTTGAGAGATAGGGGTGAGTATTACTACAAGGCATTGGGTAAGAGTGGTTGGAATGGAGAAGTGGAGCTTTATGAGACTAAAGGTGAGAGCAATGTGTTCCAATTGAGAGAACCCGATAGTGCAAATTCTCATGCCCTACTCAATAAAGTGTCTTCTTTCGTAAACAAACATGCCTAGTCATTAATGCCATACAACTATATATATATATATATATATATATATATATATATATGTTCTTGGTTATATTACCTCTAATATTTTGGCTTGTTAAGGTTAGAGTTCGTTTTGTGTCTGTCTGTTATTGACAAATATAGTGTAATTTGTGATTGTACCTTATACATTTGTTATCGTATGGAAGAAATGCCCTTAATTTTCAATTGTGAATATGTATATGGGAACTTTGTTACTCGGCTAAAACATGATTGCATTTTATACATTTGTATCCCATTGAAGAAATGCCCTTAATTTTCATATACATTTGTATCTCATTGAAGAAATACTCTTAATTTTTAATGCATGTACGTGAAATCTTTATTCAAATTCAACTAAAGCTCTTTAGTCTAACGGTATAATCTTTCATTTTCAAATGCAGGGATATTGGATATGTGTTTGTTTTAACTTTTTCAAAAAAATATAAATAAATAAAAAGAAAGTGAAGAAGTGGGTTAACAAATTAAGAGCCCTAAGCCTCTAACATCTGTGATAAGGGGGCTCTTGAAAAAAAAAAAATAAAGTCTCTAATCACACCCATACATAATCTTTTTTTTTTTTTTTCTAAAAAATTAATGTTGACATTACTGGGCTTGGGCTTCAATTCTCTTGGCCATGTTATTTTATTTTATTTTTTTAGAACACGCATCGGTTTCACAAGACATGCGCCATTCAAGTTAGAAGTACAATTCGAAAGCAAAACCGGATCTCTGCCAATACCGTTATGCTCCTGAGATCCGGATTGGGTCACTTAATTCTGTTAAAATTGTCATTGTCATATTTTTGTCAAAGAAATTTGAACTATTAATCTTCTACTTTGAAAACTAATAAAGTATCACGAGCCTATAAGTAATGATATGCCCGTAGAAAGATAGGTGCATTTTATTTTTAATCTATGAGTAATACTCCGTGATACAGAAATCAAACCATGCCAAAGAATATAGTTCAACTAAAAAATAAAAATACCGTGTCAAATTAGAATAATCTCTCACCTCTTAAACGCTTGTTTAAATTGCTGACATTTTGACAATTATACGTAGTATAATTTTTCTTAAACTATTTGTGTTTGTACAATTTATATATTGACGCTATATTGTTCATGTATGTCGTGTTCAGCAAAATGTAATGACACCACGTAGTATTTAATGGCTTAAAAGTATTCAATGTTGCTCTTTTCGGATTCCGTGAATTAGAACAATAATAATAATAATAAAATATTACTCCCTAATAACGTAAACATTTAACATTAGCATATGAATATGCATATTATTTACTTGTGCACTGAACTATAATAAAAATTTTAATAACGTAAACATTTAACATTAGTATAAGGATAGGCATATTTGCTTATTTGGCTGTGTATCTCATTCCAATCTTAACATTTTTCAGGTGTGGAGTAGGAGTGATATGTCGGTGAAGCTGCATCTTTTTTCTTTCTTTATTTATTTTTAATATTTACCCTTGGAATGTAATAAAGGGGGGTTTAGGAAACAGATTCGGTGCATCGATTCATTCGAATTATACGTGGATAACACGCGTTCGCGCGTAAGCAACAAGTATAGTTTGGATGAACCTGATGCGCCGGGTGCACCTAATACCTTTCTTGTGTTTAAGATGTCTTCCCACCTTTAAGTTGTTAACTATTAAATTAATTTCTTTTAGTTACCCTATTAAGTATCAAGTGTGATGTTATGATCCCAATTTGTCCTCGACCAAGTCACGTTGTGATCCGATTGATTTGAAAAGTGAGTTTTGTGCGCCAACAATCCCAAAAGAAAATTTTTTAAGTCATTTTTTGTTTCTGAGTCGTTGACCTTATCTAGTACTCTCTTCTATTTAAGGTCAAAATGGGATAATGAGAGACACTGAAAATCACAAACAAGAGAGTGAGAACAAGAGTTAGGATCTAAGGGTTGAAACTTGTAATATTCTATTTTTCATATTGTTAGATCTTCACTGTGAACATATGTACAACTTGTATCGAACTACATAAATTTTTATATTTTTTGTATATGTTGTGTTTACTTTTTCTTTCTCCTTCTTTCTTTTTTCTTTTTTTTTGTGATTTGTAATTTGTTGTTCGTTTGCAACATTGTTGTAACGTTCAGCGTGTCGGAAATTGAAACCAAAGTGAAATATGTTTACTTAAGTTGGTGGATTAAGTAAATCTAGACTTAGATAACTTGTGCAGTTATTACATCGTCACGTGAATTTAAAGCTTGAAATAATATTTTTCACTACCAAAGCCTGTGAATTAGTAATTATCTTCTCCTTTCAAAACGAAAGACGAATAATTCAAGTCTTTTTAAAATTAAACATGGTGGAAGTTCTTTCCAAGAAGAAAAAAAAAAAATCTAAAATTTCTGCAATTTTAATTCCAAAAATACCAATTTCATGCTTCCAATTACAGTATAAATGCATTAGCCAAAACCAAAAATCATAAGCAATTTTGGTAAATACAAGTGGCTTTGTTCTTTTTCTGTTAATCACAAACAAGTAATCCAACTGTTCACTATTATCCAAATGGCACGCCATTGGTTACCAATTTAAATGGTTTAGATGCATTGGAGTAACAACTACCCTCTCTAGCTAGTTCACTCTTTCGCTATTTTGGTAACTAAATTAGTTATTGCAAAACAACCCACAAGTCACTTATATATATATATTAGGATATAATCACCCATTTGAATCGTGACATTTGAGCCCTTCCCTCATATGCAGCATTTCTCTATGACATGAACTATTGAAGCTCAAGCAAAAATGGGCTCCAAAATGTCACCATTTTTTTGGTTGTTCATCTTCTTTTCGGCGGCTTCAAGCACATTAACTAAATTTGATGTCTCACCTTTCCTTCCACTATTCAATAATGGCACAACACTTAAAATAGTAGGCTTCATGAATATGTACAGCAATAACACCATAGAGAGATTGGATGACTATGTTGTCCCTCCATCATTAGATCCCAAAACCAATGTCAATTCCAAAGACGTCGTGATTTTGCCACAAATTGGTGTCGCTGCTAGGCTTTACATCCCCAATCCCACCCCCGAAGGACACAAACTTCCTCTGCTAATTTACATTCATGGTGGAGGTTTCTGCTCTGAGAGTGCTTTTAGTCCGGGTTACCATAACTACGTGAACTCACTCGTGGCGAATGCTAGTGTTGTCGCGTTGTCGGTTAATTACAGGGTAGCACCAGAGAACCCTATTCCTGCTGCTTACCAAGATTCATTGTGTGCGCTAAGGTGGGTTGCTAACCACTCCGAGGGATGTGGTGGTAGTGAGGCATGGCTCAATGACTATGTTGACTTTGAAAATGTGTACCTTGTTGGAGATAGTGCAGGTGCTAATATAGCACACAATGTGGCAATGTTGGCTGGCCAAAATGAGTTGGATGGTTTGAAGATTGCTGGTATGGTTCTAATGAGCCCATATTTTTGGGGGACACAGCCAATTGGTGAGCATGAGCCCAAGGACAACCACATAAGAGCTATTGTGGAGCTGTTGTGGCACGTGGCGACGGGGATGAGTGTCGGGTTGGATGACCCACGGGTAAATCCGATTGTGGATCCGAATTTGTGGAAACTAGGGTGCACAAGGGTGCTGGTATGCATTAGTGAGAATGATTGGTTGAGAGATAGGGGTGAGTATTACAGCAAGGCATTGGGTGAGAGTGGGTGGAAAGGGGAGTTGGAGCTTTACGAGACTAGAGGTGAGAACCATGTGTTCCAATTGAGCAAGCCCAATTGTGCACATGCTCAGGCCCTACTCAATAAAATATCTTCTTTCATAAACAAACAATCGTGTCATTGATGACATAGAATGAATGAATACTTTGGCTCCTTCAATTCCTAAAGAAAATTTGGATCAAAATCATCAAATCATGGTTTCATCTGAATTTGGAAAAGTTTATTGTTTCTCCATTTGATTGTTGAATGTAGTAAGTTGTTTGTTTGAGAAGGCCTTGGTAGCCTAGTGGTAGGACATCTTCCAATTGGTGTTTGGGAGTCAAGTTCGAGCCTTCTCATCTATCCCACTCCCTCCTTGCATTGCCAAGATTTTAAAAAAATAAAAAATTTGTTTGTTTGGAGCAAAAACTTTATGGTGTAACTTGTGCACGTATATGGAAACTTTATTGCTCTGCTCAAGCATGATTGTACCATATGCATTTGTTATTGAAGTAATGCCCTTAATTGTCGGTGCATGTACATGAATACTTTATTGTTATGCTAAAAAAAAATATTGTCTATTTAAATTCCATTAAGGGTATCTTAGTGTAATATTATAATCTCTTTATTTCTAAATAGAGAAGTTAATTATTCGAATCTCACAAAAATATATTGTAAATAAAGAGTATTTGTTACCACCATTATGATTTTATATCTTAATTTAGGGAGGGAGTATATATTAACTAGGTCGATATTACATTGACAACACATGCAATTGATTTGGTGGAGGGCTTTGTTTTTAAATGTGACATTGGCTCTAATTCGGGTGAATCACCATTAAACAAATCATTATGTCTATTTTGAAATTTGACAAATGGCAAGTCTCTAGTGCTTGTTTTTAATGAAGAAATAAAAAATAGAAAGATAAAAAAAAAGGTCTCTAGTGCTTGTTTTGTCTCTCCATTAAACGGCTGAGAGCACAATTTCATTTTAAAAGTATATACCTTGTAGGCTTGTAGATTTTTTTTCTTTGATAAAATCCGTTTTTGTTGTCTTGTCCTTTTGTTTTTGGCAGATCCTAGTACTATTCTTTTTGAATAAAATTATTCCAATTGTTACTGTTGTTATGCGTCACACATCATATACCGTCTCTTGCGACTTATTCTTTAGCTGGACTAAAACGACTTACAAATTAAAAATAAATAATTCTTACCGACTCACTAATGAATAAAAATTTCAACAAATAATGTGTCGTGGGATGTTCAATAGGAGAGAGTCGAGACACCAAACAAAGGAAACCAAGTACTATTAACATTATGAGTTCCAAATTGAATTAAGTTTTTTTTGATGATGGTGAGACTTAAGAGTTCCCGTAAGCCTAGTCACTCTCTTTCAGAGTATTTGCGTTAAAATAGACTTATTAACATTATACAAATAAATAAAAGAAAGTATTTAGTTTACGCCAAAGAAAGGAAGTTCCATGTGAGTGATTCACTTGCCTGAAGAGCAAAAAGAACTATTAGGCTAAAGAATGAAAGGCGAATGATCGTAAGTTCAGTTTTTTTCTTATATTCGGTGTTTGAGGTTGAGCGTTCGAATTTTGCTATAGAAATTGTGAAATTGTGTATGCTTACTTAACTTTTGAACAAAAATAAAAAAAAATAAGAAAGCATATATTTTGATATTTTGACAGGTAACCATATCTAATTCTTGACTGTTAGGTATTGGGAAATTCTGAATTTGGCTTACCCCATTAAATAGGATTCAATGTAACATCTACTGAATCATAGTTGTTCACATTCGTATGGTTCCATATTGAAAAAAAGGATAAACGAGAGGACCCAAGTTAAGATAGCATGTATCCTCCATCTCTCAACATTTTGAATTATTGAGAATTCAAACTATATTTGTTTTGGACTCCATTAACATTCAATTTATGTCATTTGAAGCCTGGCTAGCTATGGAATCATAAACTCTCGAGAAAAATATCAAACAAATTTTTTTTTTTTTTTTTCTTTTCAGAAATTAAATATCAAAGAATTTAATCAGTGAAACACACCTTACTTTTCATATATAAAAGTACTCCAACACAAACAAACATGTCCCCACTAGAAGATGCTATATGCAATTCATATATATGCAAAGATATTGCTTTATTCATCACATGGGTGTGAGCAAATTTTGATATATAGAACAAAGTTTAAGCTTTTTCTTCATTCATGAAAGAAGCTACTTTTTTGAGCATGGCCAAAGCATTCTCACAAGTGGGCTTAAACAAATGGAACACATGGTCCTCCTCTTTGGCCTCCATAATATCTATCACTCCTCCCCAACCACTCTTACCCAATGACTCACGGTAATTCCAACCCCTATCTCTCAACAGATCTTTCTCAGCAACACAAACGAGCACCTTGGCACACCCTAGGCTGGGGAATTTCGGATCCATAACCGGGTTGATCAACGGGTCATCAGACCCGCTCGTCCCTGGGTTCACGTAAACCCACAACTTATCCACGAATTCTCTCTTGCTGATGTCTTCAGAGCCAATTGGATCCTTCCCCCAGAAATATGGATGGACTAGAACAATCCCAACAAGTTTGATACCATCCAGCCCACCTGGCCCGACCCGGATTGCCATATTATGTGCTAAATTAGCACCTGCACTATCTCCAGCAAAGTAAACCCGTTCAAAATCAGCGTACTCCTTTAGCCACTCCTCATCACCACCTCCATTAGAGTGAGAAGCAACCCACTTGACCCCGGTCCACGAATCATCGTAGGCGACCGGGAGAAGATGCTCCGGGGCTCTCCTGTAGTCGATGGACGCCACGACAACGTTGGCTTCCGCGACGAGGGAGTTGAGATAGTTATGGTACGTCGGAGAATAGGCTGTTTCGATGACGAAGCCTCCGCCGTGGAAGTACACGAGGAGGGGGAGCTTTTGACCCGGGTTGGTGGTTTTGGGGATGTAAACCCTAGCACCGACGCCGGTTTCGGGTGAAATGATCACGTCTTTGGATTGGACACCGGTGTCCGGGTCGGTGGACGCAGGGACGACGTCGGTGCCGCTAAGTCTCTCAAATTTGCCATCTTTGTATACTCGAATGAAGTTAGGAAGTTCGTAAACAACCTCATTTGTGGTTGAAGCCATCACAGAGAAATGAACAAACTATGAAATGGTATGAGAGAGAGAGAGAGAGAGATAGGATTGATGGAATGCATATGGACCATTTGAATATGAAGGGTGGGGATGTTAATTAGGTTAGATGATCTGGACAACTTGGCTCCGTTGGCAAGTAGTAATGGCTTTGGGATATCCGCACCCATCACTTTCTTTACTGATTTGGAGGAAAACGAAAAGTATTGTGGGCCACACATCTTTTGTTGTCACCCCTTGTAAGGAGAAAATTTTAAAGCAGGCCAGTTTGACATGTGATATCACACTCAAAACCTTTTTTTTTTTTTTTGAAAAATAAAGCAAATTTATTAAGAAAGAAGATAATAATTACAATACTGGGCCTGCTGGCCCAACCAAAGGAGAAATACGAAAGCCAAAAATTGGCCCAGCAAGGGAAGGCCCAGTTTCAACCTAATAACCAAAATTAACGGCTTGTTTGGCCGTTAATTGGGGGTTGTAGGGAACAATCTGATGAGTAGCCTTAGCGAAGACGATGATCGGAGAAATTGTCAGTTCGGCGGCCTCGGAGGAGGACGACAGCAAGTCAGGGAGAGATTCCAATCTGAGAGGATCTTCTCGACATGGCATAGTCTTACAAGAATCCCAATTTGAGAGTTGCAGTGATAATTGCTGTGATTTGAGTGAGCACTATTCTTTGAGATGATCTCTTCCTTCTGAAAATTCTTTCATTTCTTTCCTCCCAAATGTGATAAACCATGGATGAGAAACATTGTAATACCCTATATTTAATTAAAAGAGCTTAGTTTATTTAAACTCATTTATGTGTAGATTTCTTTACCTATTATTGTGCATGCTACATTATTATATTAAGTTCATTTAATTGTGCATGTGAATTAATTGTGTATGTTAAAGTAGTAAATTTATTCATTTAAGTATGCATGTATTCTTATTTTATATTTTTATTGGTAAGGTTTATATTAAGCAATATTAGTTAATTAAAGTATTATATTTATATTGTAAAGTATGATTATGATTGTAATGTATTCTTATAAAAATAATAAAAAAAAAAATAATAATAATATAATAATAATAATAATAATAATAATAATAAGAAGAATATAATAATAATAACAATAATAATTATTATTATTATTATTATTATTATATTAGTATTAACCAAAGTCATGTGATATGTGTGATTATGATGAGTTCATTTATGTTATAAGGAAGACTTAGTGGGAATCCACCATCGTTTGCGGGGTCCACAGATGTCCTGTTAGCATATCAGTGGAAACAGGAGAGCGAGCGTCATCTTCGGATGGTAATCTGTACCGAAGTGCAGAAACAGATGCTAGCTACGTTTATACTGATAGGCAATGCATTGCAGTGGTGGGAGTCTATTACTACTGTCGAAGAGAGGACCAGATTGACTTATGCTGAATTTCAGACTCGCTTTGATGACAAGTATTTTCCTATGTCAGTAAGATCAGCGATGAAGACTGAATTTCTGGATCTGCAACATGAGGATATGACTGTGGCTGAGTATGAACAGAAGTTCATTAATTTGTCATTATTTGCACCAGAGGAGGTCAATACGGAAGAAAAGAAAAGAGACCGCTTTGTGAAGGGGATGATATGGCCGATTAAAGTGGTGATCATAGGTAGTCCTGCATATACTACTTACATCCAGGTGGTTAATGCCGCTTTACAGCACTGCCAGATGAGGAGTGATTACCGGAAGTCCAAGGGAGATAAGCGGGCTAACTGAGACTACCAGATAGTGGAGAAAGGAAGCAGTAGTGGTACCAAGTCCAATGATCGGGGCAGATTTCAAGGACATCAACCTTGGAAGAAAAACAAAGGAAACCCAGATGTGCAGAAGGATGGAGTCCCTAATCAGGGTAGACAAGGTGGGGTACCTCAGACCGGACAGGAACAGTTTTCGGGAAGTCAACAGAGGAGGCAGGCAGGCCCTTTTACAGGACGTTATTATCACTGTAGAGAGATTGGGCATTCGGCCAAGATGTGTCCCAAAGCTAAGCAGGGACAGTATGGGCAGCCGAGACCTAATCAGCCATTACCTCTACCGGCCCCACCGATGCCACGTGGGCAAGTTCAGAATTTTTCGGCACTTCCAGCACCACCATTTCCTCCGGGACAACCTCCACAGCAGTTGCATCATGGCAGAGTTTATAACTTCATGCCACATAATGCGCAGGCTCCTCAGGCTATTGAGGGTATGTTTTCTATACATGGTAGAACTACTCGTATACTGTTTGACACTGGTGTATCACAATCTTTTGTGTCTAGATCTTTTGTTATCTTATCTGGTATGACGACTCAGTTATGTGACCAACCTCTCAATATTTATACACCATTGGGAGTTGGCGCAATTTTACGAGAGTGTAGCGGTGATATCCTTATAGATATGGGCCGGCTTCGATTTCTTGCAAATTTGTTAGTGTTAGATATGCATTCGTATGATGTTATACTTGGGATGGACTGGTTATCTCAGTACCATGCTCAGGTTAACTGTTACGAAAAGTCTATTGTATTTGCTATACCAGGACAGGAGATGTATCTTCTTGTTGTACCACAACCTGATAGAGGGCCTAGCACTTATTTATTCGTTCTTGAGGAGGACTCACAGGAAGCGACTGCGGTATCTCTTGACAGTATCCCGGTAGTACAGGAATTCCAGGATGTATTCCAGGAAATTTCAGGCTTGCCACCGAGTCGAGAGATAGACTTCGTCATTGATTTAGCTCCAGGCACTACGCCTATTGCTAAGGCGCCGTACAGAATGGCACCAGTGGAGATGCGAGAGTTGAAAGATCAAATTCAGCAGTTGCTCAGCAAGGGATTTATTCGCAGGAGTATTTCACCATGGGGAGCACCAGTATTGTTTGTTAAGAAGAAGGATGGATCTCTTCGTCTTTGTATTGATTACAGAGAACTGAACAAGGTCACTATTCGCAACAAGTACCCGTTGCCCAGAATTGATGACCTGTTCGATCAGTTGAAGGGAGCTACTTACTTCTCAAAGATCGATTTGAGGTCTGGTTATCATCAACTACGAGTCAGAGAACAAGATGTTCCAAAGACAGCATTTCTCACAAGGTACAGATCTTATGAGTTTCGTGTTATGCCTTTCGGTTTAACGAACGCTCCAGCTGTCTTTATGTACTTGATGAACAGAGTATTCAGAGAATACTTAGATCAGTTTGTTATTGTTTTCATCGATGATATACTGGTTTACTCTAAGTCGGAGAGGGACCATGCCAGACATTTACGCACCGTCATGCAGACACTTCGAGAACATCAGTTGTTTGCGAAGTTTGAGAAGTGTGAATTTTGGCAGAAAGAGGTCAAATTTCTGGGTCATGTAGTGTCAGAAGAAGGGTTAGCAGTAGATCCAGCCAAGGTTGCGGTAGCTATGGAGTGGGGACAGCCTACCTCATCGACAGAGATTCGCAGTTTTCTGGGATTGGCGGGGTATTACCGCAGGTTCATTCAGGGGTTTTCCAAAATTGCGGGTCCACTTACTCATCTGACCAAGAAGAATGTACCATTTATATGAGACGATTCTTGTCAGACTGTTTTTGCTGAATTGAAGAGTAAGTTAACTTCTGCACCTGTCTTAGCCACACCTCAGAGTGGAACCGAGTATTTAGTATTTACTGACGCTTCTCTGAAGGGTTTGGGTTGTGTGTTGATGCAAGAAGAGCGACCAGTTTCTTATGGGTCCAGGAAGCTTAAGCCTCATGAGCTTAATTACCCGACTCACGATCTGGAGCTCGCAGCAGTGGTTTTTGCCTTGCGTATATGGAGGCATTATCTTTTGGGGGAGAATTTTCGATTGTTTAGCGATCATAAGAGTCTACAGTATTTGTTCACACAGAGGGAACTGAATATGAGACAGCGCAGATGGTTGGAGTTCGTGAAAGACTATCATTTTTCTATTTAGTATCATCCAGGGAAAGCGAATGTTGTAGCAGACGCACTCAGCCGCCGACCCTATGTCAGCCTTTCAGCTTTGTTTGCAACAGAGTGGGATACTTTGAAGACTGTTGATGAGTTAGCAGACGCTTTTATGGCATGTGCGGTAGTAACTCCTTCTATCATTCATCGGGTCATTCAAGCGCAACTCTCAGATCAACAGTGTATTGATCGGGTTTCGGAGTTAGCCTCCGGAGATGTTCCTTTTTATTCTATAGGGACTGATGGAGGATTGAGGTACAAGGGACGTTTAATTATGCCTTCAGCTGACAATTTGAGAAATGTTGTGATGAGAGAGACACACACTTCTCAGTTCTCTGTACATCCAAGGGGAGACAAGATGTATCAGGACATGAAACGCCAGTTTTGGTGGGCCGGCATGAAAAGAGATATAGCTATCTTTGTCTCTAAATGTAACACCTGTCAGATGATTAAAATTAATCATCAGAGACCGCCAGGATCGTTACAGCCACTTCCTATACCAGAGTGGAAATGTGAGAGTATTTCTATGGACTTTATAGAGGGATTACCTACTTCACATCATAATCACAACTCTATTTGGGTCATTGTTGATAGATTGACCAAGTCCGCTCATTTTCTACCTGTTCGTTCAAACTTTACGTCAGAACAGTATGCTAAGCAGTATATTGCAGAAATGATGAAACTTCATGGCGTACCATTGTCCATCGTATCAGATAGAGATCCGAATTTTGTATCAGGATTTTGGAGGAGCTTTCAGCAGGCTTTGGGTACATCACTTTATCTTAGCACTGCCTATCATCCTCAGACAGATGGACAGACTGAGCGAGTTAATCAGATTTTAGAAGACATGTTGCGGGCATGTGTTCTTGATTTTAAGGGTAATTGGGAGGAATATTTGCCGCTTTCAGAGTTTGCTTATAACAATAGTTATCAGAAAACTATTGGTATGGCACCATTTGAGGCTTTGTACGGTAGACCGTGTAGGTCTCCTGTCTGTTGGCTTAGAGTTGGTGAGAATAGCTTTTTGGGTCCTGAATTTATTAAGGACACGTCAGAAAAGATCGCTATCATTAGGGATCGGATGCGTACAGCTCAAAGCAGACAGAAAAGTTATGCTGACCGTCGAACTCG